ATCTAAACAACATGTTACTTTATTTTACTACAAAGGGTGATTTTACTGTGACAGTATTTCTTGGTGCTTGGTTTTAGTTTTGTGTTGTTGCTGTTGTTGTTTGGTGCCTCTTAGTGACTCTGTGTAGAAACGCTTCCTAATGCTCTGAAATGCTCAGAGTTTCCCTTACCATTTCACTCTGCCTTTTCGGGGGTCGTTCTCTCTTTCTTTCTCTGATCCTCATCATTTCCAAGAGTACTGTCTCCTCCCAAGAACTGGTTCCTTCAGATAAAAGGATGAAAGTAGATGAAATGCAGTCTCATCATATGTACCTCTAACTGAGAAATGTGTAAATATAAAGACAGATAATAGTGATTATTCCTTTTGCCTCAGATGCTTACAGGGCCTAATGCAACACGGCTATCGATTTTTATTCAAAATTTTGATCTACTGTATAATCATGGAATTTTGTGGTAATTTAGATTTTAAAGTATTTCACTAATTTTAATTACTGAGATTTTTGGTGTACTTAAATTGTATGCCTAAAGCAAGTATTTGTGCTATCTCTATCCAAGTCCTAACAACAACAAACATGGAGACACTTTCCATGATAATGCATATTATGTGACTTCCACAAGCTAGAATCTTGCCCAAGGTATATGATCATCAGAAAAGAAAACAGAGACTCACTCACTATAAGATATTTAGTGCTCCAGTATAATATAGTAATGAGCAGATGTAGTCTCACTGGATGATGTAAATGACAGAACAACTCCTTTCAGCTTAAAAGAATACATAAAATTAACACAAACCACTTAATTAAATGGCTTAATAACACATCTACATTCATTTTTAAAAACTGCATTACAGAGTAGCTGAGATAATTCTGTTCATTTACCAATATAGAAAATACTGTCAAGCGATAAAATGGATTGATACAGTAACTGAGGCAGGGGTGGAGGGGGAGGTTGGTGTGTCAGAATCAGTGAGACTGGCTCAGGATAGGGCAGAGTTCAGAGCTGCTGTGCATAGGGTACCTTTGGATCAAAGACAACTTGACGGCACTTAACACAATAATAAAAACAATTTAATAACACTTTTGATATTTCCTTTTGCTTATTGTAAAAGTAATTAATGCATTTAGGTGCTAAAATACATTTGGAAAATTAATCTAAATATATAATTACCAACTATCTTCATTCTCCTGTTCTTTGTCTTTTAGCTTTCTCTGTCATAAAATATGGTGAAATAGTAAACGAATGAGTCTTATTACCTAGAGGTAAAAAAATGTGCTTTAATAGCAAAAGTATGTAGTTCGAATATACCAGCTGCTCCACTGGCACTCTTCTCTCATGTGATTTACTGCCTCAGAAAACCCACAGGAGGGTGAGCTATGAGTTGGTTCTGACTCAATGGCACACAATTACAACGTAAAAGGATGATTAGTGCTGCTGTTACCCGTGGGCCCTTATGGACAGTTTTACCTCTATTCTCAACATTTCTGTTTTAACCCTTTTGTACCAATAATTTTCTTCTTGGAGAGGTCATTATTTTAAGTAACTACTTACATGTATAATTAAATACAGTTAAAAAGAATAGAAATATTGCTTGTCACACAAAAACAGCTCTTTGCTACAGATTGAATTGTTTGAGGAAGAAGCAATAAACAACCTATCAACACACATTTATACAGATGTTAACAAAATTAAATTTCTGCTAGGTACCACAAATACCAAAATACAATTTCATTTGTGCGGGTTGATATAACAATGTTTTATTAATAAACACACATAGACAATTAATCCCTCATAATGTGAACTATATTTTCAGTGTTTCTAGCATTTGATACATAGAGTCAGCAGCCATTTATCAACATTACCAAAAATATTTCCATTCTAGAAGAGTTTTCCTTACCATATATTATGTCCTCCAAAAGTTTTCAGTGAAGAAATAGACTCATCTCCAGCCAGGAAATGAAGAGTATGTTTGCTTTTTTGTTTACATTTTTGTTGCTTCTTGTTGTTGTTGTTATTTGCTGTGAAGTCACTTGTGACTCATAGTGACCCTATGTACAAGAGCCCTAAACGCTGCTCTGTCCTGTGCCAATCTTATTGTCTCTGATCTACCTACCCCCATTGCCCCAGTAACTGAATCAGTCAATCTCATGAAAGGTCTTTCTCTCTTGTGCTGTCCCTCCACCCTCCCAACCATGATGTCCCTCTCCAAGGACTGGTCCCTCCTTGTAACATGTCCAGAGTATGAAAGATGAAGCTTCAGAATCCGTCTCCAAGGAGAAGTCTGGTTTCACCCTCTCCAGGGTGAATCTGTTTGTTCTCCTACCAAGCATTCCATAGTATATTTAACACTCTTCTTCAGCACCACGATGCATAGCAAGTACTTTATGGCCTGGATCAGGTGCATCTTAGTTTCCAGACATACATATTGTTCTTCAGTATTCTGGAGAGGTCCCTGACAGCCAACTTTCCCAATGAAATTTGTCTTGATTTCCTGGCTGCTGGTACCAAGAATGTTGATTGTGGAGCCAAGCAAACTAAAACTGTTAACATTCTCAATCTCTTCACTATCAATAATGATGTCGCCAATTGGCCCAGTGGTGAGAATCTGTTTTCTTGATGTTGAGCTTCAATCCATATTGAAGGCTTCAGTCCTTGACCCTCTGCAGCAAGCACTTCAGGTCCTCCTCAGTTTCAGCAAGCAGGGTTGTTTCATCTACATAACGCAGGTTATTGATGAATCTTCCTCCGTTCCAGATGCTACATTCCTCCTCATAGAGCCCAACCTCTTAGACGATCTGTTCTGCATACAGATTGAAAAGGTGTGGAGACAGAATACATCTCTGGCATACACAGTACCCCATTTTGAACCATGAAGTGCCTCCTTCCTCTATTCTGAAAACTGCCTCCTAGTTCAAGTATAGGTTTTACATAAGCACAATCAAATGTTCTGGGATTCCCATTCTTCTCAGAGTCAGCCATAGTTTGTTGTGATCCACACAGTCAAATGCCTTTGCATAGTCAATAAAACACAGATAGACATTCCATTAGTACTCTCTGCCTTCAGCCAAGAACCGTCTAACATTAGCAATAATATCCGTAGTACGATGGCCTCTTCTAAATCCAGACTGCATATCTGGAAGTTCTGGAAAATAGTAATGAGAAAGTTGCCATATATAATAGGCATGTAAATAATTATTTTCTTTGTATGTGTTGTTGTTAGATACCATTGAGGCAAGTACAACTCATAGCGACCCTATGAACAAAAGATCTAAAACTAGTCCTGTTCTGCACCATCTTCACACTTCCTGATAAACAAGAGCCCATTGCAGCAGGCACCTTGTCAGTCTGCCTAGCTGAGGGTCCTCCCCTCCTTTGCCAACCCTTCACCCTTCTCAGAATCAGAATCATGTCCCTCTCCAAGGAATAGCATGTCCTACCAATTAACATAATAAAGAGTTTAAAGGAAAAAATACATCCTGATGTCTAGTTTAAAAAAAAATTCTAATTGTTCTTGCTAGGTACCGTTGAGTTCAGTACAACTCATAGCAAACCCCTGAACCCTGTCCTAACCTGGGCTATCTTTACACTTCCTAACACACACACACACACACACACACACACACACACACACACACACACACACACGAGTCCACTGTGACACTCACTGTGTCTCCTAGTCAAAGGTCTTCTTCCTTTTTTTTTTTGCCAACCAAGGAATAGCCCCTCATAGCAACATGCCCAAAGTATGTGATGCAAAGCCTCATCATTCTTGCCTCCAAACAGCACTCCAGGTGCCCCCTCCCCAAGATATATCTGTTTGTTCTTTTGACTTTCCATGGGATGTTCTCTTCTCTAACACCACACCTCAAAGGCATCAATTCTTCTTCTGTCATCCCTATTCATTGTCCAGTTCTCAGATACATAGCAAGTGACTGGAAAGATCATGGCCTGAGTCAGACATACCTTAGTCCTCAAGGTGACATCATTACTCATCAATAATTTAGAGAGGTCCCTAATTGCAGATATTCCCAGTGCAGTGTGTCTCCTTATTCCTGTCTGGTTCCAAGGGCGTTAATTATGGATCCAAGTAAGATGAAGTTCTTGGCAGTTTCAATGTCTTCTCCATCCATTATGAAGTTGCCTATTCGTCCAGTGGTAAGAATCTTTTGTTTCCTTGACATTGAGATGCAACCCATACTCAAGACTGCATTCGTTGATTTCCTGCAACAGGTGCTTCAAGAAAGAACGCTTTAAGTTAATCAACTGCATTTTAAAACCAAGTTTTAAAACTATAGGATTCATGAGTTTCGTTACCATGGACAAATTTTTGAGAGTTGTTTGTTATTTTTTTGTTGTTTTATTCCCCCCCCCAGTGTACTGTTAATCAATGATGCAAATCTAAGTCCCTAAAAATATAGTAGTGAAACCAATAAGAAGTAATCTAAAATATTCATTCTATGGCATTTGTTCTTAGCCATCTAGTTGACTTCAACTCATTGCAGCCCTATATGCAACAGACTGAAACCCTGCCTGACCCTAAGCCATCCTTGCAATCTCTGCTGTGCCTAAATCTATGCAGTAACTGTGTCATTCCATCTTACTGAAAGTCTTTTCTGACTCTCAATTTTTCCAAGCCTAGCCCCTTTTCTAAGGACTGGCCTCTCCTGATAATACACACAAAGTATATGAAATAAAGTCTCACCATCGTTGCCTCCAAGAAACCTTCTGACTGCACTTTTTATAACTATTGGCAGTCATGGAATAATGAATAATCTTCACTATCACTATTCAAAAGCATTGTTTCTTCTTCTTCTTTGCTCATGTCCAACTTTTACATGCCTATGTAACATCGTTCTTAAAGATTATGTTTTTCTTACTGATGATTTATCTCCTATTAACTAATCTCTTTTTTTTGGGGGGGGGGGTTCTACCTTCCTAGCCTAGACTAAATATTGGCCAAAGCTTGATTTCCTTAAATAACATTATTCCATATTTCATCCGTAGGTAAAGTGGAAGGATTTCTATGCAAGGATACCACTGCAAATGAGAAAATAGAAAGGAGTAGAGAATACACGTACCAGTGGCTTCACTCCCAGGTTGGGGCTCATGAAACAACTGGTTCCAGAAATATGAAATGGTGAGATCATTTCCTTTAAATTAGATTTTTGTATTGTAAACATACCTTGAAAACTAAAACGTGGGTTAATTGTTCTAAAACAAACATGATTTCATAGCCAAAGGCCAATGCACCAGGTTATCAGGTTATAAAAAGTTCTCTAGTATAAAATAGATTTAATCACTCTAAAATAATATATTTTTCACCCCAAAATAATGAGAGGAAACATATTTCTGTAGTTCATGTAGCCAACAGGTGAATTACAAAAATGTTTTCCTTTAAAAGCTAAAGTGCATTGTATCCATTCACTATTTTCAAATAATGTATATGTTGTACATTGCCATATTAAATTTCCATTAAAAATTTTATTTACATTTATAAATTGCATTTTAAACTATGATTCAACCTTTCAGCTATTACTTTCTAGTCATGTAGCTAATTTTCAATATTTAGATTTTTATCTCTCTGATAAGTGAGATAACAATATCTTATTTCTTGTAGTATTGAGATAGCTCACAGCATTGAAGATATCAAGTGCTAAATCTCCTAGCAACAAATTAAATGGTTTGCTTCTGATGCTCAATAAATGTTTATTATACTGATGTGCTACATAGCGTACATGTGTATAAAAATTCCAGAATGTTTCGTATACATTTCCAAGACTTTAATTTTTACCACATATATCCCACAAACCATTCAATGGTATGCTTAGGATTATATTATAAAGGGTATTTTTGAAATATTTCTGTGTATTTTAAATAATAACTATTTTAAATAAATAGAAAATTAAAATCTATTATGTTTGTGTTGTTGATTATCTTCAAGTTGAGCATGACTCATATCAACCCCCTAAACCAAAGGCCTGAAGCCCCTCTGCAACTGTTGACATTTATCAAAGTTCATAGAGTTTCCAGATGCATGTTATTAAGAAAGTGGACACCACTCCTAATTCTAAACCTGTCATAATATGTTATTGTTATTACCTTCCATTGAGTCATCTGCAATGTATATCAACCCTATGAACAGCAGCTTTGAACCCATCTCTGCCCTGTGCCAGTCTAATTAATTCTGACACAGTTAACCCTAGTTACTCTATCAATGCATCTCATTTGGGGTCTCCCTCTCCTGCACTGTCGGTTCACCCTCCCAAGCATGATGTCCTTCTCCAAGGACCACTGTCTCCTGGCCATGTGTCTAAAGTAAGTGAGACAGAGCTTCAAAATCCTAGCCTCCAGAGAGAGACTTGGTTTTACCCGCTCCAAGACAGACCTATTTGTTTTCTTGGCAGTCCATGGTATGTTCAAGACTTCACCAGCACCACAACTTGAAGGCATCTATTCTTCTATCATCCTTAGTCATTGTCCAACACTCTGAAGCATAACAAGTAATTGAGAAGACTATGGCCTGGATTAGGTGCACCTTTTTATCTAGACCAACATCATTGTTCTTCAGCTCTCTGGAGAGGTCCATGACAGCAGATTTTCCCACTGCAATTTGTCTTTTGATTTCCTGGTTTCTGCTGTTGAGTGCTGATTGTGGATCCAAGCAAGCTGTGATTGCTAACAACCTCAACCACTTTTCCATCTAATATGGTGCTGCCAATTGGCCCAGTGGTGAGAATTTTGTCTTCTTGATGTTGATCTTCAATAAATATTGAAGACTACAGTCCTTGACCTTTTAAAGTAAGTGCTTCAGGTCTTTTTCAGTTTCAGCAAGCAAGGTTGTATCATCTGCATATTGTAGCTTGTTAATGAGTCTTCCTCCAATCATGATACCACCCTCCTCCTCATAAAGCCATGCTTCCTGAATAATCTGTTCTCATACATTTTGAAAAGGTACAGAGACAAAATGTATCCCTGACACACTCCTTTCCAGATTTTGAACCGTGCAGTATTTCCTTGCTCTGTTCTGAGGACTTCATCTTGATTCAAGTGTAGGTTTTGTGTAAGCATGATCAAGTGTTCTGAGATTCTCATTTTCCTCAAGTTTAGCCATAATTTATTGTGATTGACACAGTCAAATGCCTTTGAATAGTCAATAAAGCACAGATAATCATTCTTTCGGTACTCTCTGCTTTCTGCCAAGATGCATCTGATATTGGCAATAATGTCCCTAGTGCCATGACCTCTTCTAAACCCAGCCTATATTTCTGGTAGTTCTCTTTCAATGTACTGTTCAAGTATTTTCTGGATAATCTTCAGCAGGAGTTTTGATGATATTGTTTCATAATTTATGCATATGAGCACTTGAAGGTCTGTTCCACAATCAGCACCTGACCTAGTTTATACTGATGATAATGAACTTTTCCAAGGGTTCCTTCCAGAGATGTAATTAATCTGATTCATGTGCATATTATCAGGTGAAATCCATGTGTATAGCCTGTATTTATGTTTCTTATAAAAGGTATTTGCTATGAATAAATCATTGATTGTACAGAATTCTATCATTCTATCCCCAGCCTCATTTCTGCTACTAAGTCCATATTTTCTGACTACTGAGCCTTCTTCCTGATTCCCATCTTTTGCATTCCAGTCTCCCATTATTATTAAATCATCTTGGATACATGTTCGATCAATTTCTGACTACAAAAGTTGATAGAAATAATCTATTTTCTCCTCTTTGGCTCTGGTTGTAGGTGCATAAATTTGAATGATAGTGGAATTAACAGGTCTTTGTATGCATATGGATATTATCCTGCAACTCACAATATTGTATTTCAAGATAAAAATGGCCTTTTAAACTATGAAAGTGACCCCATTTTTTCCTCACCTTTTCATCTGCATCATAATATATCATATGATCTTGATATTCAAAATATTCCATGCCAGTCCATCTCATTTCACTAATACCCAATATGTCGATATTCTTTTTTACAATGTCCAGTTTTCCTACATTCCTGCTTCTCACATTCCATGTACAAATTATTAATTTATTCTTACAACTGTTTCTCCTCCTTTGTGTTTCCAAATTTGAGGGCTCAACTTCAGTTGCCATATCTATTAGTCTCTTCTGAGTGTTCTCTATTGTATATAGGATTTTTAAAGGCCACTTATAATTCAGAAGTGGATAGCCAGTCCTTCTCCATAGTCTGTCTTAATTTGGATGCTCACTGTTAGAAGCATATCTGACAGGCAAATATTTTTACCTTGTAGATGAAAGGCACTTCCCTTACAGAAATAACCAATACATTCACTGCCCACCCACCCCAAGCACGTGTGACTTGTCTCTACCCTTTCCCTGCTACATCCCCATTCCTTGCACACCCAACTACCTGGTCAAACCCTCCCTTCCCCAGCCACCTCTCAATATGATCACCAGTCACTTCTCTGATGCCTTGCACTACACACTGTTACTGGTCTCTCATGCTGTTGTCTATCTCTTATTTAGGAAAAAACGATTATAGATAAAGTATAATTAAATAACATATCCAATGATACAGTAAATGAATGGGGTTTTTTCATGATATTTATGAAAGGATGTTTTCATAGGTTCCTGGTTCTGTCTACAGAGTTCCTTTACAAAAGATGGTAGTCATATAAATAAGAATGCAATTGAAATTGAAGCAATAGTAAATATCTTGAATCACTATATTGCATTTTATTGTGAACAATGAAAGTAGGAATAAATCTTCCAATATTTGAAAATGTATTGTTGTACATATACACAATTTCTTTTCTTTTCCTACTAATCCAGTTAATTTATTTAAATTCATAGGGAGAGCATTCTTATAGCTCTAGGGAAATACAACATATTTATAGCTTACTGTCTATATTAACCAGATAAAACTAAAACTATAACTAACTAGCTCCCTGTTGTCAAATCAAAATTATCTTATCGCTGTCCCACATATGAGTTTTCAGAGACTGTGAATCACATAGAAAGAGATTGTTCACCTTTCTACCACAGAGCTGCTGGTAAATTCAAACCAGTAACCCCTAATTTAGCAGTCCATTTCTCTACAGACTACCCTACCAGATTTCCCTTACCCAGATATAAATGGTCTAATTCAGAGAGTTGAAACATGAGAATCAGTAATTTGAATCCAATAAATATGATCATTCAAAATTTAAATAAATTATATTACACACATGATTAATACTTAACTATTGATTTTTTTCTTTTGAAGACATAATTTACAATCTTGAAAACCAGATATTATCATTCTACTTTTATACAGAATTAATAACGAATATTTGCAAACATTAAATACACTACAACAGTCATAAAAACAAAAGCCTAACCTTTCTCAAAAATTAAGTAAGCATTATAAGTAAATATAAATTAATATGTAACTTTTCTTCAGTTTATTTTAACTCCCAGCCCCATCCCCATGGGCTTCTCAGATTGGGTTCTTTCTGCAGTGATAAAAATATATTCTGATTTTTTTCCTCTTGCATGTGTTTTTGCCTTGTTTATGACAAGAATGGGTAGTATCAAAGTATTATTTATCTTTGTAAGGAAAATAATGGGCTATTCTGGTCATTTTGTAAATGACTAATTTCTAAAAAAGACTTTTCAGTTGGGTTTTTCTTCCTTATAATTTCCCCACATTTTAATTATAACCTGTCTTCTGTTTTTGTCATGATACAGCAATCACTTCTTGCCTGAGTTAGATCCAGATGTACTTAAAGGTGGAAGAGTTCAGCTTGTGGTAAGAAATATATTTAGAGCTATAGAAAAATGTTTTAGATATCAGTCCAAAATAATATATGTCCAAAATAATTTTCAACTGTGGAAATATCACAAGTGTATTTACTTGGTATAACCTCAAAATTATGTATATTTAAAATAATAGCATTATTTCCTTGAGTTATAACTTTAAGTCCTTAATTTAAAATATCAATTTTATATGGTATATTTAAAACCATTAGCATGGATATTATATGTAAATACAATTCAAGAAGGCTGCATGGATCTCAAAATAGCCTAATGAAATTAATCTCTTAAATATTTTAAAAGTGTAGCATCGAGCTGCCACACTTGAGGGAAACAGCAAGATATTCTCATTATTCAAAAAATTAAAGATCAAAATTTAGAAAAAGATTGTGAAGACAGCCACATTAAGTCATAAACTGTATGCAGTTGAAATTTTAGTGAATCAAGTTCTAAACATGGTTTACAATTGTGGCCTCAGACAGCATATATGTATATATTATTATAATATATAATATGTATATATTATTAGAAGAAAACTTTCCTTAACAAAAGAATAATGCCTTACAGAGACTATTAAAATTACACTCTCTAATATCTTTTTAGAGTATCACCAAAGTAGAGAGTACCATGTTTAGTGGCAAAACTGTATGACCTCCTGGGGGTCATGTACTCATATTGTAGGAGGTGACTCTAACTTTATGACACTTCCATTTATATCAGTCAACACATGACCCTTGCTTAACCTGGAATATGTAGATGATACAACTTTGCTATGTACTCATCAAGAAAACTGAGTAGAACTTAGTTTCTGCATAAATTTTATTATGTTGTTGTTGCTGTTGTTATGTGCCGTCGAGTTGCCTGTGACTCATGGCAACCCTATGCTCTGAGTTCTGGCATGTCCTGAGCCAGTCTCATTCATTCTGACACACCAACAACCTCCATTGCCCCAGTCACTATACCAATCCATCACATCAGGGTTCTTCCTCTCCTGCACTGTCCCTCCACCCTTCTGAGTGTGGCGTCCTTCTCTAAGGACTGGTCTATCCTGGCCATGTGCCCAAAGTGTGTGAGAGGGGGCTTCAAAATACTAGCCTGCAAGGAGAAACTTCTTTTCACCCTCTCCAAGACAGACCTATTTGTTTTCCTGGTGGTCCATGGTATGTTCAAGACTCTTCTCTAGCACAGCACCAGAGCTCAAAGGTATTGAGTCTTCTTCTGTCATTCTTAGTCATTATCCAGCTCTCTGATGTATACCATGTAATTGCAAAGACCATGGCCTAGATCAGGCATATCTTAGACTCTAGACAAACATTGTTGCTTTTTTAGGACCTCTGAGAGGACCGTGAGAGCAGATTTTCCTAGTGCAGTTAATCTTTTGTTTTTCCGACTGGGGGTGACAAGAGTGATGATTGTGGAGCTGAGCAAGTTGTTAACAACTTCAGTCTCTTCCCTGTCTATCATGGTAATGCTAATTGGCCCCGTGGTGTGAAAGAATCTTTGCTAAGCTTGAGGAGAATGAGAATCCCCAACCACTTGATTGTGTTTATGAAAAACCCATACTTTAGCAAGAAGCAGTCCTCAGAACAGAGCAAGGAAACTGCATGGTTCAAAATCAGGAAATAAGCGCATAAGGGATGCATCCTGTCTCCATACCTTTTCAATCTAAATGCAGAACAGATAATTCAGGAAGCTGGACTTTATGAGAAGGAATGTGGTATCAGGATTGGAGGAAGACTCACAAACACCCTACGTTATTCAGATGACACAACCTTGATTGCTGAAACTGAAGAAGACATGAAGCTGCTGAAGGTCACGGACTGTAGTCTTCAATATGAACTGAAGCTCAACATCAAGAAGAGATTTTATAAAAAAAATAAAGAATAAAAAGATATTTTATCATAAAGAGAATATTACTTTTAATATGCTAGACATATATGAAGAAGAATGTGTCATCAGGGATGAAGGCACACTAACAACCTGGGAGATACAGAAGACACAAACACGCTAGCAGAAAATGAAGAAGAACCCAAGCATTTATTGATGAAACTCATAGAAGATCGAAGTCTAGTTTACACTTCAGCATAAAGAAAACAAAAATTCTTACAACTGGGTAAAAATAAGCAACATCAAATTAAATCAAGAAAGGTTCAAATGGTCAATGGTATCTTTTCACTTAACATTTATGAAAGTAGCAGTAACAAAGTCAAGTGATGTAAAGCACTGAGCAAATCTGTCACTCAGAACCTCTTTATTGTTAAAGAGCAAGGATATCACTTTAAAGATGAACTTGCACCTGATACAAGCCATGGCATTTCCAGTAGCTTCACATGAATATGAGTAGGACAATGAAGGAAGACAGAAGAAAAAATGATGTCTTCGAATTGTGGTGCCATCAAAGAGTACTGAATATGCCAGGATGACCAACAAATAAATAAATATCTCTTGGGATAATTGAAATCAGAATGCTTCTTAGAAAAAAGAATGATGAGACTTCATCTCACATTCTTCAGGCCTGTTACCAGGAGGGCCCTATAGTTGGAGAAGTTCCTAACTGTTGAAAAAATAAAGGGTCAGCAAAAATGAGGAAGACTGCCTTCAGAATGGAATGACATCATGACTGAAACTATGAACAAATATTGTGGAGATGGCAGAGAATCAGACAAGATACCATACATGGAATAGAGTAGTACTCAACTGGACAGCACCTCTACTGATATTTCATCAATTCCTGGGGTCATATATTTTGTCCATGCTTTCAGTACAACTTGGACTTCTTCCTTCACTTCTGTTGGTTCTTCATCATATGCTACTTCTTGAGATGTTTCAAGAAATTGATGAAACTGTGGATGTGCTGACTGTTGTTGTTGTTGTTGTTGTTGTTGTTTTTCTTAGGTGCCATCAAGTCGAGTACAACTCATAGCAACCCTATCAACAAAAGATCAGAACCTAGTTCTCTCCTGGGCCATCTTCACACTTCCTGTCACACTAGAACTGATTGCAACAGTCACGGTGTCAGTCCACCTGACCGAGGGTCTTCTTCTTTGCCAGTTCTCCACACTTCCAAGCATGATGTCCCTCTCCAAGGAATCTCCCCTCTTAGCAAAATGCTTATCTTTCTTGCCTCCAAAGAGCTCTCAAATTGCACCCTCTCCAATAAGTATTTCTTTGTTCTTTTGGATGTCCAAGGATGTTTAGTGCTCTTCTCTAACACCACAGCTCAATACTTCTTCTGTCATTCTTATTCATTGTCCAGCTCTCGGTTGCATAGCAAGGTATTAGAAAGACTATGGCCTTAATCAGATACACCTTAGTCCTCAAATTAATACCATTACCCCTCAATAATTTGGAGAGATCCCTAATTGCAGATTTAACCAATGCAATGTGTCTCCATATTTCCTGACTACTGGTACCAAGGGTGTTAGTTATGGATTCAAACAACATAAAGCTGCTGACTATTTCCGTTTCCTCTTTATCCATCATTATGTTGCCTCTCAGTCCAGTGGTAAGAATCTGTGTTTTCTTGATATTAAGAAGCAATCCTTATCAAATGCAGCATTCCCTGGTCTTCTGCAAAAAGTACATCAAGTCCTCCCCACTTTCAGTAAGCAAGGTTGTGTCGTCTGAGTAACACAGGTTATTGGAGAGTCTCCCTCCAATCCTGATGTTACATTCTTCTTGACAGAGTCCAGCTTCTTGAATAATTTGCTCAGCGTTCAGATTAAATAGGTATGGAGAGACAATACAACTCTGACACACTCCCTTCTTAATTGGAAACCCTGTTCTGTTCACACAACAACCTTCTGGTCCAGGTATACTTATCATCAAAATCACCGAACGCCACATCATTCACTACATAATATGACCCAAAATATAATCAAATCATTAACATTAATTCAATTAATACCCCTATTAATACCCCTCCAAGAAAGACTTTACTAGATCCCCAAGTCTCAGGATACTTTTCAGTAGCCATTGCTGTAGTATAACCAAACACTATCAATATCCCACCCAAATAAATCAGAAAGACTATTAAACCTAAAAACGACCCCCCAGAATAACCCACACCACACCCCTCCACATAAATTAAACCTAGCCCCCCCCAAAAGAGGAGAAGGCTTAGAAGAAATTCCTACAACTCCTAAAACAAACATTACACTCAACAGAAAAACAGTATATGTCTTATACAAATATGGAAGACTGCTCCCTGTCCAACTGGTATCAAGAGTTCCATTTTTGTTCCCCTTTCCCAAAAAAAGTAATTTGGTGGAAATTATTTAATATTAATATTAAATGAATATTAACATTAAATATTGTTATTGTTATGTGCCATTGAGTCGTTTGTGACTCAGAGTGACCCTATGTACAACAGCTCTAAACCCTGCTCTATCCTGTGCCAATTGCTTTGCCTCTGACACACCCATCCCAATTACCTCAGTCACTGAATCAATCCACCTCCCAGAGGGCCTTCCCCTCCTGTGCTGTCCCTCTACCCTACCAAGCATGATGTCCCTCTCCAAGGACCTGTCTCTCCTTACAATATGTCCAAAGTATGTCAGACGAAGCCCCAGAATCCCTGCCTCCAAGGAGCAGCCTGGTTTAACCCTCTCTAAGATGAATCTATTTGTTTTCTTGGCAGTCATGGTACATTCAATACTCTTCTCCAGCACCACAGCTCAAAGGCATCAATTCTCCTTCTATCCTCCCTAGTCATTGTCAACTCTCTGATGCATAACAAGTGATTGCAAAGACCATAGCCTGTATCAGGTGCACCTTAGTCTCCAGAGAGACACCGTTGCTCTTGAGTACTTTAGAGAGGTCCCTAACCATGTACTTTCCCATTGAAATACGTTTTTTATTTCCTGGCTACTGATACCAAGAATGTTGACCATGGATCCAAGCAAACTGAAGCTGTGAACAATCTCAATCTCTTCGCCATCCATCCTGATGCTACCGATTGGTCCAGTGGTGAGAATCTTTGTCTTCTTGACATTG